GGTGACATCACAGGCAAGCCCTCCAAACAGAGCAAAGGGAGGAACAAACTTCTGCTCTCTCACCCGAAAGACCAGAGCCCCAAGTATGGAGATGGCCAGCCTTACCCTGTCTGCATCTGCGTGGGGCACCAGGCTCCTCTGCTGCGTGGCCCTCTGTCTCCTGGAGGCAGGTGAGTCCTGAGCTCATAGCGACCTCCATTGAACTCAAACTTCTTGACTGTTGTTTCTAGAGTGTCCAGCTCCTTCCTGTGCTAGTCTCCAGCGTCTGTCTCCTTCCTCCACAGGTTCAGTGGATGCTGGAGTCACCCAGTCCCCAACACACCTAATCAAACGCCGTGACGGGAAGGCCGTTCTGATATGCCACCCCATGTCTGGACACGATACTGTGTCCTGGTACCAGCAGGCTCAGGGGCAGGGCCTCCAATTCCTCATTCAGTATTATGAGAAGGAGGAGAGAGAGAGAGGAAACATCCCTGATCGCTTCTCAGCTCAACAGTTCAACAACTACAGCTCAGAGCTGACCATGAACAACTTGCAGCTGGAAGACTCGGCTGTGTATCTCTGTGCCAGCAGCTTAGACACAGCCCTGCAGGGTTAATGCCTTTCTGTACTCAAACCTTCCTGTCCCAGCTGAGGAATCAGAGGGAGAGGGTGGGGGCCTCAGCTGAGTTCTAGGACACTTCTAGCTCTTTTCTAAAGCCCTCCTGGCCCTGCTGAGCTCAGCCAGAGCATTCCTGAAAGTTCTCACAGCTCTGCCAGCACCTTCTAGTTCCCAGCATGTGTCAGGAGCCCCTGGCCTGTGCTACAGTGCAGGTTCACATCGTGTGTCTTAATACAAGGTCAACATTAGCGTGTCCCCACTGCAGGTGAAGGAGATCTCAGTCCCATATGACAGAGAGGAAGCCGTAGCTGCTGGAAGGTCCAAATATTTCCTATTTAACGGATCAGAGGCAGGAGTCAAACCCACATCTCCAGGCCTCCCAAGCCTACATTCCCCTCAAATTCCATGGTGCTTCCTGGGCTTTGTTCATAGAGATAACAGAGCACTGTCTGTTCCATTTAAACACCAGCTGAGATTGGATGGGTGCTGGAGGGGGTCACACCTCATTGTGGCTATGACAATGGATTACCTGCCAATGTCTAGGACATAGAACTTCAAGCCAGAGAACGTGTGTTTTTCCTGTCATAGTTCATAGAGCAGGGCCATGATATCCCCCCTAATACGGGAGCTACATGACTAGGAGGATTTTTGGACCTCAGAGGATTTGGCCAAGGAAAGAGCCCTCTAGTTATTTCAAGGGAAACCCTGGGAGTTAATACAGGGAATTGGACTGGAAGGTGTGGAGGAGGGAGGGTCTCTGAAGGGAGCAGCTTGCCCTGGGGCCACCACTTTAGATCAGAAAATCAGCAATTGCTATTCTGCCCAGGTGAGGCCCTGCAGAAAACAGCTGAGGGCCACAGCCATTAAAGGGTGTAGCCGTTTGAGGACTGCAGGTACAAGTTTACTCGTGAACACAGACCAGTTTAATTCTATCCCTTGTGCATTTAATTCTGTTCCCTTATTTATTGCTCATTTTCTTCTTGAAGCAGCACGACTTCCCCATGTTCTAGGGGAAAACACTGATTCTTAGAGAGTTTATTTAATTTACTACAGGATGCACAGCTAGCAAATACCAGAAGTGGGACTCAAACACAGGCCATACCGACATCCACCCCTGCTTTAAACCACTCCGCCCTTGCACCTTTTGGTAGAGGGAGACATCTTCAAAATTGGAACATTGACCCTAATGTCCCTTTCAGAAACGCTGGCTCTGACACCAATCAAGATGTGTCTTGCAGAGATTTTACT